CTCAGCATTACTGTGTGGAATTACGAGAATAGCACATAAAACTCTTGCTAGTCTATCATATTTTGGTGTTCCATCAGCTCTTTTTATTCTTTTTAAGGTACCAACGAGGACATCAAGTCTATCTTCTCCAGAACTGGCAAAGTCTTCAAACTGTGCAGCAGAAAATTGGTTCTGTAGTTCATCTAAAGCATCATTATGGCATTCATTTTCTTTAATTGTTAACAAAAATGGAAATTTATCAATAAAAAAATGAATCTTTTCAAAAGATGAATTTTCAATTTGTTTCAAATTTGCCACTTCAGCATTTAAAAGAACTTCATTTTGCAAAGGAAACTTCCTTACAATGTATGTAATCACAGGCTGAGGAAAAAGTACTTTCTGACACATTGAAAAAATTATTTTTTCTCATGATCTTTCAAAGAATTTACAAGTTCCCTGGTTTGATATTTCTGAGCAATCTTGGAGTCGGGAAACATCCGCCTGAAAAGTTGACCGGCGCAGCGCTTAGCGGCACGTTGTGTTTGATGAGTAATGCAGTAAACAAACGCTCTGCCAAAATGACATCGGCATCTGAATTCGTAGCCGAATTTGAAAAAAAAAATCATCCACTTTCTTTGACGTTGTCGAAGCCGAAGCATTAGACGTTGTCGAATGCTTTTTAGACTTAACATGCTTCACAATGGTCGCTTCTTCCACCAGTGACTTATTATGAAGTCACACACGCACACGTTGCAAAATGCAGTTATTTCCTTTGAAGGATTCTTTAATTGTTCGGCTTTGTAGGCAGCCGAAAATATTGAGAATTCGGTTTTTTTGAACTCATTTCGTAACAACGACGTATTAAGAAAATTTGTAGCACGTAAAAAAAAAAAAAAAAAAAAAAAAAAAAAAAAAAAAAAGAATGCGACAATCCACGCTCGCTGAATCCGAGCTGAGTAATTCCACAAGTTCAGCACATTGGATTGGCTGGTTTAGCGGCGAGTTGGGAGAAACCGCAGGTTACTGGATTCGAAGTAGTCGGTAAAACACGATGCAATTGGCGAAAGTCGCTGAATTGGCGAAAAATTCTAAAATTTCGACAAAATCACTAAAAATACTTGAAAAAGGAAAAAAATCGTAAAAAATGGATTACGATCGTAAAATTGTAAAGACAAACGCATTTTCGTAAAAATTACGAAAAATTCGTAAAAGTTGGCAGGTATGCATTACGGTGGAATCTGCGGCAGTTCCATGAGACCAGGGTGGCCATTATGATTTGTGCTTGTTTTTTCTGTGCTGCTTTTTTGTTTTTCGTGGAAGTAGATGCTTGGGAACATCTAGCCCCTCTTCTACTTCCATACTATCTGAATCTCAGATACCATATCTTCAAATGAACTATTACTATTGCTTCTATGCTTGGTTACTATTTTCGGAGGCCCATTTTTGGGTTTGCTCTGGATTGCTATTTCTTTTCTTTTTTTTTTTTGTACGACATGAGTCGATGATTGCTTTTTCTGGCTTGCAGGCTGCTGGGTTTTATTTGGTGGAGTCTGTGCATTTATCAAAGTTTGAGTGGCAATGGTACGTGTTGCTTTAACAGCACTAGCACATGAGATATTTGGTTCAAGCCGTGTGCTTTGAACCAGCCTTCTGGCTTCTGTATAGCAGATTCTTCTAATGGCTTTTGCTGTCTGTACTTCCTTTTCTTTTTTCCGTTTTGGACAGGAACGAGAAAATGCTGGATGATCGCCCTTGCAATTTACACACAATGCCACAGCGGTGCAATTATCACTATCTTGACACGGGCTTAGAGCACACGTCAGGTTGCCACGACAGGATGTTTTAGAGTGACCAAACCGCTGGCATTGGAAGCATCGCATTGGGTTGGGAATATATGGTCTTACGGGACAGTTCAGATACCCATCCTTTATATTCTTTGGCAGATCAGGCAATTTGAATGTCAGGATCACATGTTTTGTGCCAATCAACTGACCTTCCTTACACATCTTGATCCGCTTAGCTGCAGAAACCTTTCGGACAGCAACTCCGAAAAGAACTCTTCTTCTGAAACGAACACAAGGCCGATTTCCGAGATCACGCCTTTACAGAAGTTGAGTGTTTTGTGTGCTAACACAGTTATAGGTAAGTTTGGTTTGACGCTAAAGTGAAGCAGACTGGGTAGTCGAAACGGTATCAATAAGCAGGTCTCTAGAATGGAGACGCTTTATGTTCCTTGGCTCACCTTGCATGAATGAATGTGTTTACTTACCAGAAAAGGAGACATCTTTTGCAATTCTCCAGAGGCATTCGAAACAACAACAAAGCGCGGACAATCAGTAGTTTCTTTGGCATTTGCATCGGCACAGATTTTCTTGCCAATATATTTTTGAATAATTTCTATATCTTTGTTGGTTTCAATTGAGTCAGGTTTTTTTTCTTTTTTTTTTTAGATGAAAAGTGAAGCCAGGATTGAAAGAGAAAAGATTCGGGTCCGATGGCCCCGCCCACCACGGAACCCAACAAGGGAACACAGATTCCTGTGTTAGGACTAGCCAGACCTATACGCAAACTGAAGCCCCACAGTCGGCTTTCCCGAAAGCAGGTACTCCCGAGAGCTTATCCCCAAGCCACTGACACAAGGACTAGTGAGCACCCGACTGACACCCGTGAGGACGACTAAGGTGTCTCCCTATTTAGCTGAAGTAGAGGCCAAAGCAGTGTACTGAGGACAGTACCTCACTCCTCAACTACCAGGACCCTCCTTTCCAGCGACACTGGTCTCCACGCACGGCAAACACATGGGCAGTTTTCTCACCACTCGAAAACTTTAGACAAGGGCTGTTCCAGTTTCTTATGACGAGCCCCAACCTCCGAAGAGGAAAACCACAAGAGAGAATGGAAGGGAAAAAGTATCAAGTCAGAGGAGACAGAAAAGAGGATAGATCACTGGGGGCCCAGGATTGTGACACCTGCCTCACCAAAACGATGATCCCCTGAAGGGCTAGGGAACCTCGGGATTGCCCCACCCATACTCACAAGAGTGAGCCCCTGAGGGGTAATTTTAGACTGGAAATTTCTTCCATTCATTTGCTTTTCTTATATGAATTACATTCTTTACACACTCAGCTATCTGAAATTTTCACTTACCTGACATTTCCTAAACTTTCCAGATAGTTAAGCTTTTACTGCTCAGATAAAGGGCAAAATTCCTAGGAAACATATTGGTAAAATACTGAACTGCTTACTAAAGCAATTTCCAAATTACATTTGTTAGAAACAATTTCCAAATTACAGTTGTTAGAAACAATCTGGAATTCCATTCTAGAAATGTTGGAAAAGAACTAAACTTTATGAAAAGTCTTACTTCAGGATTCTGGTTTGAGTTATGTTGGTTCCCCTGCTTTAGCTCACATTTTATTACATTTACCATTTGGTACAGGTTTTGTGAAATGGATCCATTTTACATTTACAAGGGAGAAAACTCTCACGAAAAATAGTCTTTCAGCAAAATGCTGATAGGGAAAAAAAAACATGTTTGAGACTTGGATTCCATTCCTTGATCAAAACAAAAAAGAAATTTATCCACATAGCTCTTGTATTGGTTGTACGGAAAATAATGCAGGTTTTTGCAATTGTTTATCTTTTATGTACATTTTTAGCCACAAAAATATTTTGAATTACATTTGTTTATATATCATTTTGAAGCTTTATTTTCGCTCTATATTTCTATAACAATCATTTTGTTCAAAAAGTTTTCTTAAAGTATTTACTACATGTTTTTGTTTAAATGTCAAAACGGGATTTTCGGCAAATTTATGAGCACAAGTTAGGCCACAGCGCAGCACAAATGACTCGAAATGTCAACGAATTATCCGGCGAGAAAAGTGTTAATGAATCTACATTTCAACGGGAATACCAAAAGTTTTGCCCCGGAGAATTTGACCTGGAAGATCAAGAGCATCGCAGATGCTCTTCAGCTGTTGATGTCAAAGAAGCTCGATAAGTGGGTACCTCACGAATTGAGCGAAAATAATAAAAAAATGCCGTTTTGAAGTGTTGTCTGCTCTTTTACGAAACAAAAACGACCCATTTTTTAAATGAATTGTTATATGCGATGAAAAGTAAATTCTCTTTAACAACCGGTGACATTTGGCTCAGTGGTTGGACCGTGGTCAGACACCCCAACACTTTTCAAAGCCAAATTTAGCAAAACGATTACGGCAGATTACGTACGGTCAGCAAATCAATGAAATGCACCAAAAATGGTAATGCAAGTGCCTGGCATTGGTCAACAGAAAGAGGCCAGTTCTCCATGACAATGCTCGGCCGACTGACCTTACAGAAATTGAAAGACTTGGGATACGAGACTCTCCCTCTTCCCCCATACTCGTCCAACTTCTTGCTGACCGATTACTCCTTTTTCAAACATCTGGATAACATTCTGCAGAAGAAACGCTTCAGAAACCAAGACGAAACCAAAAACGCCTTTAACAACTTATCGTGTCCAGAACTCCAGAATTTTATTCTACTGGCATAAACTTATATCTCATTGGAAAAAATGCATTGATTCGTCTGGTGCTCATTTTGATTAATAAAATTATTTTTGAGTTCAGTTATGATACTTTAGAGATATAGGTTAAAACCTGCATTATTTTCCGGACGATCTAATATATTTTGTCTTGATAACCTGATAGAAATTCCATACCAAAATCCCATACTATCAAATTTGCTTATTACAGAATATTGGATGAAATTATCGGTTCATGAACAATTTCAACTTCACACGTTATGCATTCCAAACTTAATAACTTTGTTACAAATAAAATTTGCTATAGAATTAAATAATTTTTACAAACATTAATACTTCATTTTTATTCCAAGTTCAACTTATGTTTGTGCATGAAAAGTAATGAGATCACTCTGATGTTTTATATATGTTTAGTTCTGTGAAACAAAATCTGCAAATGTAAGGATCTTTGTACAGTTCTCCTAGCTTTTCAAAATATGAATTGTGAACTTACTTCTTCACTGCAGTTTTTATATCTAAATGCCAGCTTATAAGCTTGGAATACAATAGGAGTCAAAGTATATCGTATGCGATGGTTTCCACCACTTCCAAAATGTTTTCGAGTTGTATTTAGCATCTACAAAATGTTCATTGATTTATTAATTAAAAGTTATGTGTATTAAGTACAAAAGAGCATGTTATACACAATAATGTCACAATAAACATTCAAAGGAAATTTATTAATAAAGCACTAATTATGAAATTAAAGAGACAGCACATATTATAAACACAAATAGCTTTAACAATTTTCAACACAATATCTTTTAAAAAAAGAGGGTAAAATTTTTTTCTATAACAAAGGTATCTAATTATATGGCAATAAAAAAATCTTTCATTAACTATATTAATGGTGCTAATGCTTAAAAAATCCTTCATAAAATACATTACAAATCATATCAATTAAATCATAAAATGCTATGATTATTCAAATTACTGAATAAAACTGAAATTATAGCACCAAGAAATAGTTGTGCTATTTTTTTCTTTTTAATTTATTAACATAAATACAGTGTGATTATAGTTAAAGTTCCACATTGAAATGATCATAAAATGAAAACTAATGGACCAAATGCTATCAAACTTGGTAATTGTGTAAAGGAGGTCATGGGAATTTATTTTCCGCTACAACAAAAAAAGGGGGGGGGTAAAAAACTCATCACCAGGGGGGAAATGACGATGCATGCAATATTGTTATACAAAATAAGGGTCGGAATCTAACTTAACCTTTCGTTACATGGGTTTAACATGCTGTATACCCTTAAGAAACATTGACCTAAACAAAATTACCATTTAAAGATGTTGGAATTTTAGACTGGAAATTTCTTCCATTCATTTTGCTTTTCTTATATGAATTACATTCTTTACACACTCAGCTATCTGAAATTTTCACTTACCTGACATTTCCTAAACTTTCCAGATAGTTAAGCTTTTACTGCTCAGATAAAGGGCAAAATTCCTAGGAAACATATTGGTAAAATACTGAACTGCTTACTAAAGCAATTTCCAAATTACATTTGTTAGAAACAATTTCCAAATTACAGTTGTTAGAAACAAATCTGGAATTCCATTCTAGAAATGTTGGAAAAGAACTAAACTTTATGAAAAGTCTTACTTCAGGATTCTGGTTTGAGTTATGTTGGTTCCCCTGCTTTAGCTCACATTTTATAACATTTACCATTTGGTACAGGTTTTGTGAAATGGATCCATTTTACATTTACAAGGGAGAAAACTCTCACGAAAAATAGTCGACATCAAGGCGATAAACGTTGTGTGTGCCATCTGTGTAACGGAGAAATCTGTTCATGAAAACCATAAATTAGCGATTAGAAAATGTGAGATTGCAAATCACTTGCAAAAAGTGGGAGCATTCCAGAAATTGTTTTCTTACAGGTGGCTAATTTGTGATTTTTGAAGCCTGAATTCAGCCCTAAGATATGATGATATCAGTTTAAAATGCTTTTAATCATTTCTAAAACGAAATTGTTTGTGGGGTTATGCAAAACAGCAGTGGCTTGTAATTGGCTTATGGCAGGAAGAAGCAAATTATTTATGCAAACACTAAACAATTTGGCATAATTGAAAGATGCAATACGCCAACATGCCCCTAATATTTCTCCTAATGTGCTAAGAACTGCTGTTGAGAATGCAATGATTCAACTTGCTTTCGGAAAATGCCACATTGAACATGCTTTGCAACACGTGTCAGAAATGATTAAACATATTTTAAATTGATGTCTTATTTCGTTTAATAATATTGCATACGATGCCTTTTCACCCCTGGTGGTGAGTTTTAACTCTTTTTCTTTCCGCGGGAAATAAATTCTTATGATCTCATTCACACGATTACCAAGCTTGATAACAGTTGGTCCAGTAGTTTTCCTTTTATGACCATTTCAAAGTGGAACTTTAATTAACAAACCTGTACTTAAGCTAATTATTAGGATAGGTTAAAATTTTTAACATAAAAAAATAAATGTGTCGGAAGACGTATATCATCATATTAATGTGAAGTAGCTTTATTTGCAACACAATTAATTCATTTCAATCAAGATTCTGTAGCGGATAAATTCATATACTGTCCTGCAGTATTGCTCACTATGCCTGTTCACTCTATTGAGAAAGATTTATTGACACTTGAAGAAGTTATGATTGAGACTATTGATAGATACATTTAATAACATTCCAGATATTTTACTCCTGTGACCAGGGTTTGTAGCCACATTTTAGTTAAAAAAAAAAATGAGCACCTATAAGCACTTCTCAAGCACATTTTAAGGAAAAAATAAGCACCTGTCTAATTACATTACACAAAACTGCATAATCTTAAACGAAAAATTAGACTTGTAATTTAAAATATGAGCAATGCAATATTTATTAAGAGAATGAGCATTACCTCAACCATGGAAAACAATTAACTTTTTTTTTTTTTTTTTAAATTTTAAATGTCAGTTCAATTTACAGAATTAGTTTACAATGAGAGGAAAAAAAAAAAAAAACTATGCAGAACTAAACTATATTACAAGATTTAATGATGAAATTTCAGTTCAAAATATAGAAAATAAATAATAATAAGCCATATTAATTGTATTTGTTTGGCACCTAATAATAAATACAATTAATTTTTCCACTCATATTAATATTTAAATAATTTAACTTAAATCAAAATTCTGAGCATTTTCTAAATTTTCATTGCATAACAGTTTTCCCTTAACATATATTCCATGCAAAGTAATTTAAGTAAAATAGAGGCACATTTCTGAAATCAGAAGACGGGAAATTGCTTCATTTAGTCATCCTTTAACAGTAAAAGCTTAACTAACCCCCATACTCGGAAATTGCCGAATATTCCGGATAGTAACTGGAAAAAGAGGAGTGGGGGAGATGTAGCCGTTCTTTAGATTTCTCGGCTAAATAAATGATTTTGACATTTCGATATGTGCATCATATAAAAATAGACCACCAGAACTCAGAAATATACTGCTCAGAAAGCACAGTAAAACTCTTTTAAGTGTTCATAAACAAATCTCAGACTGAACATCAAAAATCAAAATACCGCAAACGTCAAAAACTCACCACCAGGGGTGAGAATGCGCAATACTTGGGGAGTAATTCTTCCACATGTGATATTATGCAATCGTAATCAACAGCTGCCGGTATTCGGAGAATTAAGAACTAAATAAAGGAAAAGAAAGAGACTTACTAATCTGGGGTATTTTCTGATTCTAATTTTCAACAGACAGCGTTAAATTTCCAGAATAGAATCAATCTTCGCTTAGGCTGAGTAGACTGCAAAAACTTTTAGTCCTATTCAATCCAGATTGGACAGCAACAACAACAACAAAAAAAAAAAGTCTGCTGCTTCAATATTACAGATTTTGCGGAGAAAGAGGAGAACCTCTCAACCTTCCGTACTGTATAATGTATTAGGGAAAAAAAAAAAAAAAAAAAAAAAAAAAAAAAAAAAACATTTTGACTATTCAATTACTTTTCTTTTATTTAAGCCATTCCGAATATTATTCCTTAGAAAGTTAATCTGTGTAAAAACACACCCATTTTTGGAAGCTTATCTATACTTCATCAGTTACTGCAACTATATTATTATAAATATTCATGCATATGCTCATAACATAAGCATAACGATCATAATAAACACAAATATGAACTGACCACGTGGAAGGAGAATGCAAATTATTAAAATCTTGATAAAATTTCAAACGTGTGTAGTATTTGGGAGGGAGGAAAAGAAAACCAAATGTACCGGAATTTTCTACCGTTTTCGCAATTCTTTGACCAATAGAACAACGTGCACCTGTCTGTACTCTCGCGTGCACCATAGGTTACGTTAATGCAGAGAAAAGGGGGAAAGGCAGTTTCCGGGAGTATGATTCACCATCTGACGTTGCATATAAGGAAGAAAAGTTGTTTATTTAGTTTCAGCTTTGGTACGGGGAAAAAATGCGCGTTCATTAAAAAAAGGATTAAAAAAAAAGCACTAAAAGCAAAAAATAAGCACTAAAAACAAACAAACAAACAAAAAAAAAAAAAAAAAAAAAAAAAAAAAAATAAGGGCTTTAAAGAAAAAGTAAGCACCTATAAGGGCCTTTATATTTTATTTTCAAATATAAGGACTTATAAGCACTTATAAGGACCGCTATGAACCCCTTGTGAACAAACAGCCTTTCTGAAATACGACACTGCTTACAACAGCATACTTGCTAACTTATAACAATAAAAAATCAGGAGTTTTTTTTAAGAAATCAAGAGACTTTTCTCAATGACAAAAAGATTTTTGTAAACAATATAAAAATAAAATATATTTTTAATAATGATTTGACTTTAACTAATTAATATCTTTACGTTCAGTTACTAATTCTTAAATAAAAATTATACAAAAATACTTGCATATAAAACAAAAATTTTATTATTTGTATCCTTTAATAGAAAAAAAAAAAAAAAAAAAAAAAAAAAAACCCGAAAAAATTTAATCGGTTTCACTAATCATTGACTGAATTAATGGAATTCTGTACTGCAGAACTGTGAACATTAAATGATGGCAAAATAGAGTGTATAAAAAGAAAAAAAGCTTTGTTAAGGTCCGAAGACAAAAACATAAATATTTGGTCTTCACGATATAAACTTACAGTAATTGGAAAATGCATTAAGTAATTTTTTAATTTCGGATGAGCTTTACACTTATATTTTGTAGTATTATTTTGAAAACTACCAATTAAATTGCTCACATATGTAGAAATTACTTAAATTCCTAAAACATATTTTTAACACAGGAAGTAGTAATTACATCTCTGTTTACATTAAATATTTTATAAGTTTCAATACAGCCTTTTATGTGCATTTATTTCTTCCTTAAAAAAATATAAGTAGGTTCCATTGGTTGAGGATTCTAGATAAACATTTTCCTTCTTTTTAGAACTCTTTTCAAGATGATAATAAACATCAACAATATGTTAATCCATACTTGGTAAATTTAAGAGTTTTTCAACTGCTAAATTTAAGAGGTGATGGGTGCACCTCATAATTTGCAAATCTGAATTTTCTTTTATTACAATGTGTGCAACCCCAATCTTCAAGCTTACCATTACTGCATTATCGATACTAAGTGTTAAGCAATTATCCAGAGGAATTGCATTTTCTTTTAAAGTTTTAGTAAGTAGCTGTGCTATATTAAAAGCCTGCATGAATCTCCTTCTAAAGTGCAGACAGAAAGTAAAGTACATGCAGTTTCTGAAGACTTTGGATTAAAGAAGAAACAACAACTGGATACAGTTTTGCTTAGTTTTGTTGTGCTTATTTTATTGTGCTCCAGTAAAAAGGCTGACAACAAGCATTCTGCATAAATAACTTTTTGGTCTTTTGCTTCTACATAATAATGCAATTTTTTTTAATACAACTCAGGTTGTCCTTGTTTATGCACATGTTAAAAAATATCAGCCCTTCCACCATGCAAAATTGAAATGACGAATGGTATACATTGCTTTTGTATTATATTTCATTAAGGAAATAATAGAAGGAAAGTCATCAGTGTATGATTTTTGAGAAGTACATGAGTACTTTACCTTTTTCACAAACATAACCAAAACAAAAAATTATAATTCCTTAAACTGTTTCTTGGAAGTATGTGAAACTCAAGAGTGCTCACTGGTGAGACCAACAAAATAACAATCTCAATTTTGCTTTGTGTTTATTGGCTGATATATGCCAGATGACCCATAGCAGTGCTTAATGCTCACTGGAGAACTGGAACATGATGCTTTCAGATTCATGTCTCGAACACGCAAGGCACATCATATCTCACTGATGAAATGGCTCTGATTTTCTTTTACATGTAATTAAAAAAAATGCTTTTGGACTCCAAAAATCACTATTTTGGGTGCAATTAATGAAGCATTAAGCTAAGCTACATAAAAATCTCGAGAACTTTTAAGAATCAGAGACAGTTGTGAGAAATGTGATGGTAGAAGTATGGTCAGAAATCAGAAGTTTCCCACCTAAAGCGGAAGAATTGGCAAGAATGCAATAGCAATGGAGCTAGCAGATGACAAACCGTATCAAAATACATCAAAAGAAATTTTCTAGCCTATCTGGTCCCATCCACATCATCTCACACTATGCATCACTTAGCATGTTTGGCTGGATTAACCTGTTCAATATGATCCATCATCAAAGATAAAATACAAGTGGCATGCATAGTTAAAAATAACTTCAAGATGATTTGTGTTATAAGTTATTCAGGCAGGTATCAGTCTAAATGCAAATGATAATTATTAGTAGTGAAATTGACAGGCATGCTACACCACTTGAGCAAGACAACTAGAAACTGTTTTCTGAAAAATGGGTTCAATAATGGCAAGTACCACCATTAATCTAATGGCCAAAAGAACAGCAGAATATTCAGGACTTAACCATCAAATTAGACAATCGTCATACTTAGAGTGTCCTCCATGTTCCAAATCATATGTTATGGATGTAAGTACCATCTCTTAACTAATTCTAAAGATATCATTGAAGTATTATGTTATCTTCACCTAATATGCTCTTACATGCTTAGTTGACCAAACAGTCTTTATAAGGCAATTATTTATCCTTCAACTGAAACCCATTAACTATGGACATTAATGATGAAGACGATTTGGGGGTAGTTTACACAAAGGAGCTATTCAAAATTTAACTACAATCTGGTTTGTAAAAATAACTCATTTAATATGTGTGCACACAATATGCAAAAACACACTCAACAGATTTAGCTCAACACTACGCAAAATGTATGATTCTATACGATTATAATAATTTGAATAAATGACAGGTTTAGTCAAATCAGCATTTTATTAGAAAGTCTTAAACAGATATCATCATAATGTTTTAATTAAAAAAAATAAAAACTTTATTCTAAGAACAATGGCACTACCTCTTAAAAGCGGAAAATTATCAAGCATGTAACTGATAAATTGATAAAATTAAAAATATTATACAATATGAAAAAACAACACCTCTTAGAACTGGCCAATGATGTACACATTAGCTGTAAAACAAACATGATATGAAAAATTGATAATTAAAGATGTTACTAATGTCAAAAGATGTACAAATGTAAAATTTAGATATTGTTATACACATAAAAATGCAACATTCCTTCTTTACAGTATTTAAAACTTGAATTTATATAGTCTTGAAACAGATTTACATGTATACCAATTATGTCATAATAGGAAATAATTATATTTTACTCACATATTTCATTACACTTTCTTATTAGTTGACCTAAAGTATCGGATAACAGACCCTAAATCTATAGAAGAATTTTGAAATACTAACTAGGAACTGTTGATCAGGTGTTTCTGCTTGTAACAAATTAATAAACCTCCCCATTAAGCCTTGTTCCTCAGCAAAATCTTCAGGATCATCTTCCCCAGATGGTTGGTCAGGCTGATCTTGGATAAGTGGAGAGACTAACTGCAGAATTTCTTCAACCTCAGAAGGAAAAAGAAAATGATTTTCAGGCTGGGGTTAAAGTAGCTACATTTCATAAAGGATTACCTAGAAATTTTTGCATATGATAAAGAAAAGCAAATCTCCTTATGATGCTTAGAATATTATTTGAAGTTAATTTTGGTAATCTTGAAAAGACTTCCGAACTGAAGACAGATTAAAATAATTGATTAAAACTGAATGCAACAAAACACAATAGTATGAACTACACATTCCTTGTTTCCAATGGTACTTACGTATTATCGCAACCAGGTTGGCGTGATTTGTAAGTTTGAGTAAAAAAGTATGAATAGAAAGAAAAATGTACATTTATTAATTACAGATAATTTTTAATACAGTTTTTTATATTATTTTGTTTTAAAATATAAAATAGCAATTAAACCCTTCCGGTTTCGAATTTGAATAAGTTGCAGAATTATTTTTTCGGTGGAAATCTTTTGGCTATTGCTTTTAGCACTGATTGAAAACCATTTTCACCATTAACAGCTTGAGCTTGGCACCATATAAATTCGATAAGGTATGAGTCAAGATGATGACGGGCTGTTCCTTTCTGTTTTTTGTTGCGCCATTTGGCCGAGCCCCACATGCGCTCTACATGTTGTGTGTGAACGCCCGTGTGTTGGGATCCACAAAGTTATATTTGTGATTAACAGTTCCATGCAGAAATCCAGCATTTTCGAACTCACTTGTATTGCATCCTTTCCAGCAATCCGAATAAATGATGCTTCCTTCCTTGATATTTTCGCAAATTTTTTCCATGTGGGTAACAACGCTTCTATTAGGTACAGTAACCAAAAAAAGTCTCTTTCTTTTCTCGGCAAATTCCGCCGAAAACCCATTGCTATGGTAGTACACGCCCAGAGTTATTTTTTCTTTTTACAAATAAACTTTCGTCTATTTCCACACACGTAGGGTTGCTGTAAGTAGGGTCGCCAAATTTGGCGATTTATGCGAATTTTGGCCTGGTTGCGTTAATACGTAAGTTCCCCAATTTATAGCAAAATAATATTATTAGTTTTCTAGTTTTTCTGTTACAATGAATAAATATGCTGATGATGAACATTTCTTCATCACTATGTAAAAACCATACTTTTAAATATAAATATCTTAAGAAAATTTGAAAGCAATAAACTCACTGTGAAAAGATATATGAAAAACTATTTCAAAGCAAAGCGCATAATACATGGTATTAGAAATATCTTTCACTAATAAGACTAATGGTGTGTAAATATTTATTAATATAAATCCATGGTCAAAAAATAATTTCTATTTTAAAATATCCGCATTAAGAAAGAAAGACAGAAAATCATAAATGCACAGAAACTACTAAATGATGAATATTAAAAACTGTACTAAAATCAAACATTAACGATGCAAATATATTCACTGAGAGAGATATGAAATCAAAAAGGATTCTCAATCTATGAAATAGTCAAAATGCAAAATTTCTAAAGTTTTTTGCTGCTGTATCTATTTGCTAGAGGTATCTACTTTTTAAAAAATATTTATATCTACTATTTTATCATAACTATTAAGCAAGCCAAAAATGATATTGCACATAATTTTAAATTAAAACAAAAAATCGGTATTAATACACAAAAGCATGGAAATATTTACAAAAAATGTATAACAACACGTTAATATAAAACAAAATAACAAACACATAAACACTAATATAAAACAAAAATTGGTAATAATATGCAATATGCAAAAACTTATAGCAATATAAATAAATATTTAATGAAATAAGAATACTTGTCTTTTAAAATTATACATATATTAGCAGTAATCTAAACACCAAAACTGTAAAATATGTAGAACATTTTATCAAGGTATATATGGCTAAATTTTAATAACCATTTTAAACACATAATTTTAAAATGTTCATATACAATTAATACAAAAATACAGGATAAAACATGATTTATTAGCAAAACTACCTGCTCTTGTGTAGGTATGTAAGTCTCATTTTCTAAAGCATTGTTCACAAGAAAGCATGACATAGATTTTCTGCTATTGTAGTCACAGAAATTCATAAGACTTCCAAAATGCTTTAGTTCGAGAACTGTGAGGATATTGTTGTAATGTTGCACTGGTATCTTCAACAGTTTTAGAAGTTCCTTTGATACTAGTGTATTATATTCAACTCTGAAAGAATAATATTTTCCCTCATCAAAATTTACACAATTCTCGGTGCGCATAAATAAATACATACGTAAATTTTAAGTAAAAAATATACATCATTTTATCCAAGACTAAATCTGGCAATTTACCAGGTCTTGATGATATTGTTAAAGCATGCACATGTGCAAAAGGAAACTCACGCTGTCTCATTCTTTTATCGCTTTATGTTGCGAATTCGTGATGGCTGAAAATGCATCAAGTGAGATGGAAAATGAATTTAAAAAAAATTTATTTGATGGATGTTCTTACGAAGTAGTGTCTTCACGGTTCAGAGGAAAAGAGAATTTCGACTTTGAAATTAGATGCAATCTAAACGGTGAAAATCGATGAAAGAATTGGAAAACACATTTTGAAGCTGTTTTACATGTACATTGGATTGTATCTTCCGAGAAAAAACAGTGCAAATGGAAGCAGCAAAGTTTATATTTAAGGAAGATTAGTTGTGTCAACATGCAAGACGAGATAAGAAAGAGACCAGTTGGAGAAATAAAGAGTTTTCCACTCGCTCGAATACAAAATTAAGGGTGTAAATTAACTTAAATGTTAATTTAAGGGCTCGAATACAAAATAATAACAATAAGCATATGAGACATCATGATGAATATGAGAAAAAGAATCTAGTATGCACTTTGAACAAAGTTTCATTTTGGCATACATTTCTATGTGAATTTGCTGAGGCATAGAGTTGCCTATTTGCCTATGTACAATTGATTTGGTGAAGTGTTCATCAACTACTTTCATACTAGTAAAATAATAATTAATAATATGTAATTAATTAAATTTTTATTTTGCTATACATCCACAGAGAATAATCCACTAATAGTAAATACTGTGAAAATGGTGATGATAAAGGCAGTGTAATAAACAAGTATATCAACGTAGGAATTCTTCTATTTAATGGGCAATGTGTTTTATTACTCTTCATGATACACTGCACACACACACAAAAAAAAAGGGGGGGGGGGGACAGTTCTATGAGGTTGTTCGGAAAGTAATTTAGTTTTTTTGGGGGAACATGAAAGACAATTTTCGTATAATGAATAAATATTTTATTAAATTATATATTGGCCATTCTGGTCCAACACCTTTTGCCATCTTTCTGGCAGTAACGTGATTCCCCGCTCATAAAAGTTTTAGTCCTTGCTGGCAAAAAACTGATTCAGGTGGTTTTCGACATCTTAATTTGAGGTAAAGGTTTTACCATCCAAAAAATTTTGCAGGGACCGGAACAAATAATAATCGGAAGGCGCCAGATCTGGAGAATATGGTGGGTGTTGCAGTATGTCCCATTCAAGCTGTAAAAGCTTTTGGAGAGTGACCAAACTTGTATGAGGTCTCGCATTATCCTGGTGGAACACTACACCCTTCCTGTTGGTTAATTCTGGCCTCTTCTGTTTAAGTGCATCATTCAATTTGTCCAGCTGATGACAATAGACTTCCAAATCAATAGTTGCATTGTCCGGTAAAAGCTAAAAAAAAAAAAACGATTACTTTGAAATCCCACCAAACGGACAGCATCACCTTTTTTTAGTGAATGTTGGCTTTTGAAACGCTTTGAGCCGGTTCATCTTTTCTGCTCCATGACCTCTTGCGTTTCACATTGTTGTATACGACCCATTTTTCGTCCCCAGTAATAATCCGCTTCAAAAATGGATCATTTTCCTGACGTTTGAGGAGCAAATCACACACGTCAACGCGACGACACAAATTTCGCTCCGTAAGAAAATGGGGCACCCACACATCGAGCTTCGAGATTAAGCCCAGGCCTTTCAAGTGGCCATAAACAGTCGAATTCGACAAATTTAACCTCTCACCGATCTCTCGTGTGGTTATTTGCTGATTTGCATCAACTAATGCCTTTATCGCATCTTTGTCAGCTTCGACCGGACTTTCAGACCGTGGTGCATCTTCGACATCAAAATTGCCGGATCGAAACTTTGCAAACCAGTTCTGGCACTGGCGTACTGTTAACACGCCTTCTCCATACACATCCGTCAATTTTTTTCTCGCTTGGACAGCATTTTTACCTTTTCTGAAGTAAAAAGAATAAAAATTGACGAAAATTGCATTTAAAAACCAAAAAACCAAATTAAAAACTGTTTAATGTGTTTCACACACAGCCTTGTAATCATCTCAAGACATAATGTTATGCGGCTTAAGTGTGAAGTTGGTTTCGAAAAAAATGTAATTAAGTCCTCTGACGGGGAAAAAACGAAATTACTTTCCGAACAACACAATATATCTCACGTTCTGTTGGAACAATTGATGAAATTCAAATTGTGCTTTTCATGTCTCGAAAGTGCATGAGGCTTAGGATATATATTAGATTTATATATAGCATCATTCTAACATAGGTATTTTGACACAAAATCGAACTTTTTTTGAAACGACATGCCAAATTTTTTCCATATTTTGATTATTTTGATTCTATGACTCAAATTATGCCTAACTACCAAGTTTTGTAAAAATTGCACGAGTAGTTTTCCAAAAATTAGCTCTCAAAGTTTTAGCTCCTCAATGTCAATTGAATTTGGTATATATTTATTAATATCTCAGTTTTTATTAAACCTTTTTTATTCTTCCTTTCACATTTCAAAATTTATGTTCATTCCAAATAAAATTCAACCATTTTTTATGATTTATTTTTAAAATTTGTAAAATAATTTTTATAAATTTTCCAAAAAAAAAAATTTAATTATAACCTATAAAATGTTTACCATCATCTTAAAGTAGGTGTATTTCTAAGCATACCTGCAAAAAATTATACTTTTTTATTCAAAATTTTCTAAGATATACACGAATTTACATATTTGCACAGTTTGCAATTTGGCATCTTTTTTTGAGTGATATTATTATAGCTCAAAAAAATATGCCCAAGATGCCAAAGGTGGTTAAAAATTTTGCTACAGTGAATTGCCACAGCTATTTTTAACCTTAAATTTCAAATACAATTTTACGGAGAATTAATATGAACTTTTCCCCCTCAATAATGCTTAAATATTTATTAATACTTCATGAAAAGCTATTTTTTTAAATCATCTATATGATATTATTCAAATTTTAACTTTAAAAAAAAAATTTCTTTCTTTTTACTGTTTTTTTTTTTTTTTTTTTTAAAATATTTGTAAGAATAAATTTTTACCTTCGCCGTGTTATCATCTGCTACTTTACTTTAACTTCATTTAAATTTAATTGTCTAAAACTGAGAAAAAGTCGTTTGATGTTGATTTTCACAATATTTTTAAAGCAAGCAAGATGTTGACACTTTGAGTCATGTCCCAGCTTTAAAAAACATATATTTTTACATTAATCCTGTTAAAAAGAATGTTTTAAGTAGCAATTTTCTCTCCTGTTAATTATATAAAAAACATCTTCTTTAATATAGAAATTTTTAGGCTTAAAAACTCTAAATAATATGGTTAAGATTTTTTTGCACCCGATATAAGAATTGGGTCACTCAGTGGTACAGGATAAGCAATGCTGGAGTGGTTTATTTCTTTCTCATTTAATAAAAATCTTTCAAGTCAAATATTTAGCCTTTGGACTTTGCTTCAAACTTTAATAATAGTTAAAATGTCTAGAAGCTGTCTTCAGTTGAAACGCATTTAATGCAACTGATATTTTCAAAAATTTGACAAGAATACAAAATTTATGGAAGTGTAACAATCTAAAAACCTTAATTTCCTTGTGTCAGTACTGAAAACAAATATAGAAGAAAATTAGGGGGGAAGCAAAAATTTAAAGGGGAAAATACTTCATGGAAGTTTGGTATTCAAACAGAAAACACTTGGACATGTATATAAGCAAATAGCAACAATTGGGTTTGTGATAACGGAAAAGACAAAAATGATATCATTGCAGATTAAAGTGAATAGTGACTGGTTTTCAACTATATGGTTGTTTAAATTTAATTTACTTCATAGAACATCATATCATATCATAAATGGAGCATCCCACGATTTCTCAATCGAATTATTTAAAGATTCCTTAATTTATCCAGTGATGTATATAGATATCAGATAAAGCCGCTTTCCCTCTTGATGAAACCAGTCTTTCCTTTCATCTCAAGCTTTCAAAATGATTAGCCTGTAAAGACTGATGAAAGGCTCTGACTAAATACTGCTGAAATGGATTGATTTGGATTATTAAGTTGCGGCAAATTTGAGCTATCTGCCTTAAAGGAGGGATGCCTTTGTGAAGAATTTCTAAGCGAAACCAGCTCGTATACACATTACACATGAGATAAACCACAAAAATGCTCATGCAATCAGCCTGTTCACTGCGATTTGAACCCTGGAGTATTCAGTGACTTTACCGCTCAGTCATTTGTGGGCCCTTTTGAAATGGAAGGCGATAAATTTATTTAAAATTAATGTCAGAAATACCAATATGTTTTGAAAAGTTGGATGCTTTTTAATATACTTGCAGAATGCCTGGGGGAAAAAAAAAAAGCAAACCATTAAGAAGAAAAAATAAATTTTTGCATAAAATTTAGTATTTTGTAATTTTATGATATTTAATTCTTGCGATTTTAAAAATAAAATATTTGACTAAAATATGAATAATATTTTAAGAAATTAAATGTAGGATCATGAAATTGTGTAAAGCAATAGGCACAATGATAAAACTGTTTAAAGCAATGTATGCAAATCATCCTAAATTAAAATGTTGGATATATATCTCTCTTACTTATTTATCTTTTCTGAATGAAACATTGAAAGGCGTGTTAATTGTGCTTTACTTTTACTGTATTTTCTCTTTTAACATATGCAGTTTTCAAATGCATCATAGTCTGGGTCACAAAGTATTCTTTCGAAAGAAATGCAATTCAATTAAATACAATCAAATTCTGGAAAATTTATATTAATAAATATATTTAAAATGTGCAATTTGAATGAATGAAGAGAAAACTTTTAAAAAAATTATCTGAAAGAAGATAACGCAAACAAAAAAAAAAAAAAAAA